CATTGCAAGTCAAGGATTTGTCCACTGCCAGCTCAACCCATCCAGCTTCCCAAACTTCAATCCTCCCCGATAATCCAGCCCATGTTTTGCAACACCCCTCACTCCACTGTCAATGGAAACCTACCATCTGTGGCCATAAATAGGTGATCACGGAAATAAATGCAAAAAACTTACAAGAAAATAAACACTTTAGCCTGCCCAGAGCTCTCCCTTTGTTGCAACTTTTCCTGTTTCAATAATATGAGTTTTTGTTGTTGTTAAGCAAATTGATCCATAGACAAATACTGTTGCTATTGTTGGTTGCAGTCGAGTCAGCTCCGCCTCATGGTGATCCGTGTAGAACACAATGCAACGCTGCCCGGCCTGCGCCGTCTCCATGATGGATGCAGGGCCCCTCGGTGCAGCTACTGTGTGGTGCCTTCCAACCCAGCGGCTCATGTTCGAGCACGGTACCGGCAAGCTCTGTTGTGATCCATAGGGCTTTCATTGGCTAATCTTCAGAAGTAGGTCCCCAGGGCTCTCCTCCTAGTCTGTCTGAGTCTGGAAGTGCCACTGAACCCCGTCCACCATGAGTCACCCTGATGGCATTTGAAAGGCTGGTGGTGTAGCTCGCAGCGTCACAGCCACAGGTGAGGGACAGTACAGCAAACTGGCAGATGAGTGATGGACACAAACGTCCAAAACCAAACCCACTGCTGTTGAGTCAGTTCTGACTCAGTGACCCTATAGGGCACAGTAGAACTGCCACATGGGGTCTCCAAGGCTGTAAACCTTTATAGAAGTGCTTCCTCTTTCTCCCAGGGAGCAGCTGGTGGGTTCAAACTGCTGACCTTTTGGTTAGCAGCCAAATGCTGTAGCCACTGAACCAGCAGCGCCCCTTATACAAACCGCCGGTAAGCAATAATCTGGGTGGCGTGTGACAGTCAGGGTTAGGACAGAGGCGCACAGATGACCGAGCCTCAGTTCTGCTTTGCCTGTTCACCCATCGCTCCAGCCACGGCTCACGCCCATGTCTCCTTCGCAAACCTCCCCTCTGGTGTCTGCCTGGGTCTTCCCAGCACGCCTGGCCCGGACCACGCCCTTTATCGGCAGATAGCTTTGCTGAAACACCTTTTTCCTTCTCAAGGCTGCCCTTGATGTTGTTTTATCCTGGGGGATTCCCTGCTGTCCCTGGCACCCCTCAGAGGAGTGGGGAGACTCCTGGGCTGGGGGCAAGAACTACCGTTGCTGGGGCACACAAGGTCAGAGTACCCAATAACAAGGTAAACAAACAACCAAACCAAACCCACTGCCATGGAGTC